AATATATGCAATTCTCACCCTGGAGGAGACAAGTGATTTTCAAGTTAGATGAAATTCAGATATGTAAGTTTGGATTCTCCCAAAGTTATAGGCAAATGTGAGTAGAAAGGAATAGCAAAGAGCATGATTTGATTAAAAAAAAATTGCTATACCCATTAAGTATACAAACATTGTACCTAAAAAATAGAGGCAAAAAGTGTATCTGGGAAATCTAGTCAGTGCCCCTTACCCTTTCAGATCAAATAAAATGGTATAGAAAAAAACATTCAAGTCATGTTTTGAGAAGCCACACAGGATGGTAATTTCACTAGCAAAATAGCATCAGCAGCTATGCTCCCTTCGTTTCTCTAGAGTGCGGCCATAGAACATACCATGTCACATGTTCCTGTGATCTGAATTTATTTTGTAGGTAGGTCATGTTACAGGAGCTCCCAGACTAACATAAAAAAGGACTGGGTCATTTTAATTAGGAGGAAGTGATATTTAGAGAATTACAATAACTAAAACCTAAAATTTGGCCTGGAAATGAAAGCAGTGCAGGTGGTACACACAAGGCCTGAAGAATATTATCAGAAATGGAAATACCAGAAACCTGTCTGGCTACTGCACTTTGCACCAGTTATCACTTCCAAACACTCTTCAAGGGTAGCTCCACTCCATCCCCCCTGACTTTGGGAGCCCAATTCCTCCATCTTTCCAAGCAAAATAAAACACAGCAAAACAAAACAAGAAAACAAACAAACAAAAAACACACACAGCCTGAGGGTGAAATTTCCCATTCTAGGCATTGCATTTAATAATGCATCTTCTCTGAATCTAAAATTTCTCTTCTATTTTCTGAATAATTATTAATAATACCACAATGGGAGTGCGGGTGGGCAGGGAATCAACAGACAATGCCCTGCAGAGAGACAAAGGAACTCACCCCACCATGAATACACTCTACATGATGTTCCACTTTGCAGCATTCCTTCAACTGGTCTCTATATCTTAGGAAAATTTCCACATCAAGCAGTTTAGAAAGCTCAAGGTGGCTTCTTGTTAAGTTAAAGAGAAAGCTACAAGAAATGAAAAATGGGGTCAGCAAATATTAATAGCAACAGAAAGGAGACAATGTATTTCATGTTCTTGAAATGTTTTGTTCCAGTAATCTTTAAAAAATCTTGTAAACTTATGATTATAAGATTCTAGCCTTGCAGAAGTCCTTCTGGGTCAGCCATTTGAAATTATGGAGCAAATGAGGAAGAGTTGATTGTCCTTCAGTTCCCATCATGTTTTCTAGCATGACTAATTTCTTTCTTCTGATACCAACTGGAAATAGTGCTTTGGATGACTTAAATGTCAATCTTTTCCAAGATCAATTCTGAATCCATCCATGTTGCTCCTCTACCCAGGTTTAGTTTGCCAGATCTTTTTGCTACCTAACCACTATTCTGCTTCCTTTTTTTTTCTGTCCCTATTTCTCTCCTGCATTAGAGAGATTCTTTAGCTGTTTAGTTCCAGAGGTTTATCTCTAGATTAGCCTACTTATGCTCCCTCTGTCTCTAAGCCCAATCACATCTGCCTGAACATCTTTGCTACCTGAAGCAAAGGATAATGACATCTTCTCCCTTCTATGTCCAAAACCCAATTAGACTAGCAGCTGAATCCTCCAAGAAGTTAATTGAGGAGGTGAGAGAAAGTTTATGAGATGCACAAAATTTTATCTTCCTTGGGAAGGAGCTGTTTAGTGTTCAGAAGTGACACTTAGGGGGAACTGCCAAGGCTGTCCTCCCAATACACATCGACTTGCTCTATCTCATGAAAGTGTAAGACCATTTCCATTCATTCTGCGCAAAAGAGAATGTTACCTGCGTTATTTTGCACAGTCTAGCCCCACCAGTTAATGGGTTTCAGGAGAGTGTGGAATCTGTATTGCATACCTTTCCAGGTGTTCATCTGGATGTTCATTATAAGATTGACATGCTTCTGCCTCATTTATTATTTGCTTTGGTGGGTGGTCTGGAGGAGCAGGCTTTTCATCATTTTCTAAACCTTGAAGGCATGTTGGTCTTTCCACCAGAGCCAACCCACAGCAATGATCAAGCTTAGAAGATATAGTATCTTTGTGTTTACAAACATATTCGGTCAGTTCTAACTATAAGAAAAGAAAGAGAGATTGGTCCTTTAAAGACAGGATGTAATTGGAGGAACTGTGGAGTATCACAAAACCCTTTCTAGGCTTCTTTCCAAAGAAAATGAATAATGGTGAACAAGTACCTTCAAAAGTTCTTGCTTTGACAATACGTTAATAAGTCTATGTAATCACACAACAACATCAGATATCCTGTATTTCAGATATTCAGAGCATGCCA